TGTAAGTTCTGGCTCTACCCATAAACTAGGTTTAGGGATGCAATTTTTGTCATACTGAGACTAACATTTTTGAAGCTCTAACCTTTTCTTCAGTTTGCTTGCTTGTTCTCACTGTTTTCCTTCTTTCATAAAGGAAAAAGAAATTGGAAGGTATTAAAAAAATGGAAGGAAATACTCCGTTTTTTAAGCTAAACAAAATAGAAACTCATTTTCAATGTAAAATCAAGCAAAATGGTATTTTAAAAATATCTCTTTTTTCTTTTGTCTATGAAATCTTTTTCTGTCTATGAAATCTGTCTATGAAATTACAAAATTACTTGTCCAGTGGGAATGGAAATGTAAAAACACAACAGACCATCCTACACCACAGGGCCTTGAGAAGGCCACTTTCATAACCTATCAGGAAAGAAACAAAATTTTTATAATCTGAGAGGTGCTTCCCTTTCTCCTCTTGCTACCAAGTTAGAAAAAACCCACCTCTGGCATTTAAAAATAGAATGACAAGAGCAATCTGTTATAAATGTGGATCACTTTAACCCTTTCTGTAGCTTCCCTTGCTTTTTCCAGAAGGATACACCAAATATAGGCACGCCTCTGATATTTCCAGAGGCCAGCCTTGAACCCCCAGAATGTGAGGAGGTGAAAGAAGTGTTTTATCTGGAAGACTGCTCTCAACTTTAACTGTGGAAAGCTTAAGTCTTCAAAGCATCTCTCTGACAAAAATAAGAACTGCAACTTTTGCCTGACTTGAATACAGAACAATTAATCATCCCTGGTTGAGCCAAAGTAGGTCCAGGTTGACTTGAAAGGTTAATGAATGTTCAAACTGTTTTTAAAAAGGACTTAAATAGAGGGCTGTAACGGAACATGAAACCAGGCCTCTTTGGTGTGGCTTTGGGTTTGCTGAAAGACCTGGCAGAGCTTGAAAACTTCTTTTGATGATCAGCCTACCTTCCCTTTCTTTAGTTTAATCCCATTTTTCCTGATTGCACCCCTTTGCCCCACCCTAACGTGAATGCTCTGTTTCTCCAATGCTTACACTTTCCGGATCTTTGCACTGGGTTTTCCGTCATGCCCTTTCTGTCAGCTCATAGAAAAGGCTTGCGTGTGCAAGGCTATTTCCTCAAGAGTCTGTTATACAACCCTTCAAGTAATTTTTGCTGCTCTTTCCTGATTTTCTTTTTTTATGACAATACCTTCCAACTTTCAAGCAGGTCTCTCAATTTTTTAGTCGTGCTACAAAAAGGAGCAAACCTTTCCTAGCTCTGCAGTGCAATACCTCAGTATTTGCATTAATTATATACTGTGTCTTTCCAAAGTTTTAGATTGATCCTTACTCTGATCAAGTATTGCTCCTTTCTAAATTTCTTTCCCTCTCCGTACCGTTGCTCAATACCACTATTCCCCAAGCACGTTAGCTTGTAATTTCTAGTTTGACTTTCGTTTTGTAATTTTCTGCCAATATTTCATGTCTCCATCTCCCCAGCAGAGATTTTATTTCTTTTTGCTCACTGTTGTTTGCATCCCCTCCAAATTCAGCTGCAAATTTAATTTGGTTTCTGCTTGGCCCTGCCACTATTAACAAACAGTAATGAAAAGATTAACTAACACACAGTTTATCATCTTAAATTATCCACTACCATGATTTAGTTCTGGCACTTTCAATTCTTCTGTTGGTAAATGACTTCTCAAGAAAAAAAAAAAAACAAACAACAACAACAACCAAAAAAAAAAAAAAAAAAAAAAATGGTTTTGTAAAATTAGCACAGGTCTAGTCAAGTCATTGGAATTTATTGATTTAGCTAAAGGTATGACCTTTAGATTTCTTGTTATTTTGGACAGTTTTCAGAGCTACACAGTGAAAAATATGTAGAAATACTTCACCTTTTGTGGAAATTGTTTGTCCAACTATGGCTTTAATTCTTTGTTGTGACTAAGATGTGACTGACTGCTCATCTCAGGTGGCATTGTTTTTATTTCCTAGCACTTCACACTTGTCATTGATCAATCAAACTTCCATGCAGCATTACAGCTGGACTTTCCTGATCCAGCAAGTGCAACATGAAAACCCCAGCTTGCAGCAGAATGCCTGTATGACCTTGACATCATCTGACTCCTCTGTATTCCAGTTTCTTCTCTTTAAAATGGGAACAATCACAGCCCTCCTACTTTGTCGTTATTAACCAAGATATTAAATGCTTACGGAGTGCTCCAATACCAGTGACATGAGAATGGTAAAAGAAAACAGAGGATGATTTGCACTGAGAACATTTATGGAAATATATTTGTTAAGATGCCTCTTTACTCTCAAAACAGACAGGCATCTCCCACGCTACATGCGTCCTGCAATGCTGTTGTGCCTTGTGTGGAGAGAGGAGATCTTTACTTTTGCTCTCTTAGCAGGGCTCTTTGAGGGAGAAAGCAAAGGATGTCAGGGCATATATCTGAGGCAACAAAAGCCCAACACCATTCCACATAGTTCCTTACTTTGCAGATGTAGAAAATGATGAACAGAGATTTTTGACTTGACCAAACTCTTCCAACAAATCAGAGAAATCAGGATGCCAGCCTCCCAAACCCTTGTTCTGACCTTCTGAATACACAGATTAATTAGCCAACAGGTTAATGCAAAATTATACCGTGACAATCAGGTCACAGACAAGACAGGTGTAAATATCACGATACAAAAATGTCACTGAGGAAAGGAATTAAAACAGAAAAAGACCAAGTTGTGGCTGAGAAAAGCCTGCTTACTTCTGTAGTTGATTACAGACCTGAGGATGTAGCTAGTACGGTTGATACTGTACCGGACATTATTAATAGTCGAGTCCCTCGGTGGGAATGCTGGAGGATGCTGGGGAGTGTCAGATGCCTCCAGGGGGGGTCCTGAGTGCCCTGAGCTCCAGACGATGTCGGTGGCGGGGGAGGAAGGTGCAGGGCCAAAACCTAACAGAATTAACTTTGCACAGGGTGTGAGAAGCAGCTGCTGTTCCAAGTAGTGAGGTAAGCACCGAGGAACTGCTTCTGACCTTTCTCTTGGAAACGGGCAGGTATGTGCAAGGGGATCACATTTTGATCTCCAACAAGATATATTTGTGGAAAGATCAAATGTAGACACACATGCCGTTGCAATCAGCTGGGTCTGAAATGAACCAATTTTGCTGCAGTTCTACACAGCGCATTTAACTGTTCAGAAAGCAGACTGCTCCTCACGGCAGATGTATTATCCCAAAACTGCCCCTCAGAAAGATGTCACCAGTCAGGAAAGCTTTCTTCAATGACTAGTCGGGTCATGGTCACAACGGTAATCATAAACAGTATTGTAGATTGGTTGGGAGTGCAGATGAGTTTTTCATACTTGGGTGAACAGCTGTCTTGCTGTGCTTTGCTCAGCCAGTCATTTAAAGAGGAAAAGGAAATGTCAGTGACTCAGTAGGCTGAACTCCATTTCCAGAAGAGATTAGGTATATACCATTCACTGGAGGCTATGGGGCCTCAGCGTTCAGATGGGTCTTCTCTTTTGAAAATAGACTTGAATAAAGCATAATTAAAAGCAACTGACCCGCTGCAGAGATTAAGAAACTTTGGTGGCCTCATCCTCAGATGCGGTGTGTAGCGGTACTCCGCAGCCCATCTGCAAGAGGAATGCATTAGTTTCAAATCCCTTCACTCTAATTTACAGTTTGGTTGGCTCTGAGGATGGGAGGGTTAACACTTAAAGCTGCCATAACTCAGTCCCACTTGATTTTGTCTCTGAATTCTTCGGCTTCTTAGTGGGTCTGGCTCTTGTGAAAGCTTTAGCTTCAATCCGTATGTGTTGAAATTTCCATATCTTGCAAAGTGGAAATGTTCGGGAGGGTCACAGTGTCTCTAGGGGCATTCAGCACTCTGCAGCAATCTACCTTAATAAATCCTTCGGCAGGCACATATTGTACAAATAGTCGATTACTCTTCTGAAATACAGTGGAAATTTTCATATGCAATTATCTCATACTCCCATCTTTCTGAATATTCAGGACGCAGTGATATTTTTCTCGTTCTGTACCTTTTTATTGTCCCCCTAAGCACAAAGAAGGGCTGCATTTCTTCTCAACATAGTTATTAGGATGAGGGCATTCTGCTACTTGTTGCTTTCTGTGAGTTTGTGAAAACAGTGCTTAGCAAGCAATGAGAATAATTACACTGTCGTCTCTGGCAAAACCCTGAATAAGCTGTCAGCCACCACAAATGATCATTAGTTGCTCAGCCTGAAGAACAAAAGCTGCTCTTAAATTTTTCAGAAAGTGCCAAATACTTCAAGCTGACTTACATAAATCATGTCGGGTATTACAATGTTGAATGTAAAATTCACCAGTCACTTTTCCTTCTATTCCAGTTCCTCTTAGCACTGACTTAAAAGTAAATACTTAGGCAGTATCTCACAGTACTAGGATTTCATTATTTTCACAGAACATATTAAATGACTCTTCACTCTTCAGCTGTGTAGACTGTTCGGAGACTGATCAAAATAAAGCAATACAGATTTTTTTTTTTAATTTTTTTTTACATCACCACAAACAAAACAAAAATCAAGCAAAGCTTTCTAAAACTACATAAAGTGTTGAATCTCAAAAAGAGCAGAAAGTGATTTGCCAGGGTCTAGTGGGGATTTAATTTATTGATGGAAGCGATAGGTAAAACTTATTTGCTTCTCCTAACTTTAGGCCTTCCCTGTGACACCTAGATTAGACAGCATTAGTACCCTGCTAACACTGCAGTGATAGGCAGGAATACAATATATTAAAATAGAAAAACCAAGCTACGGTTGAAAGATCAAACAGCTTTGCAATGCATGAGCTTTCCTTCTTGATGTCATTTGTTTTTACTCTCTGTGCCACTAATGTCAGCAATCTCTAACACAGATTGACAGCTAAGTGTACTACCAGGATATACTAATTTTCCTACCATCCTGTGATATGTGCAGACACAAATCCTCTGGATTTGTGAGAGAGAAAGTGCCGGAACAGATATTCTAGATTCACACTATCTAAACGGTTGCACAACCACATGGCTTCTAGGACAGGTGTGTGGTAGGTCCTGCGTGGTAAAATGGTTATACTGGTTCAAATGGATGTGTCTTTATATCCAACATACACTGAAGAGCTATTTAAGTCATGTGCAGTCATACACCTTAATGTTGACTAGGTTGTGTGTCACAGCTGACCTGACAGAAACAGAGCTCAGGTACCAGCATTAATACTCTTAATACTCTAGCAGAATCAGATATCAGACAAAAACGAAGTGAAAGCAGTTGCTGGTTGTGGTCTTCTCTATCTGTATCTACTAACACTACTTCAGCTGATACTGGGCTAGGGAGCATGCTGCCGGGCCATGCTCTTACTCTGAGGTGACTATGGAAATGCTTGCCTATGCCTCCTTGGGACCCAGCCCCAGATACAGTAATCCAGTCTGTACCTCCTGTAGAAGCTAAAGAGTATTGTGTCCATGTCTAGGGCCATTCGTCACATTTACTTGACTGAAAACCCCCCAAAAGGAAAACTACCTGAAAGGGAGCTGCAGAGAGCTGGGGATGAGCCTCTTTAACCTAGTAGTAAGAGACAGGACAAGAGGGAATGACCTCAAGTTGTGGCAGGGAAAGTTTAGACTAGATGTCAGGAAGTATTTCTTTGCAGAACGGGTTGTTGGGTGTTGTTCTGTCCAGGGAGGTGGTGGAGTCCCCATCCCTGGAGGGGTTGAAGAGTCGGGTCGACCTAGCACTTAAGGACATGGTGTAGTTGGGAACTGTCAGTGTGAGGTTTAACGGTTGGACTGGATGATCTTCAAGGTCCTTTCCAACCTAGTTGATTCTGTGATTCTGTGAAAACAGTTCACAAAGCTAAAAAGAATATCTTCAGGGATTTACATGTGGAAAATTTCAAGAACCTTGAAGATCAACAGAAAGATCTCACAATCACCTGCTAACTAGGAAGAAGTTTGGCTTGAACAAAATCTTTCTACCAGAAATGAATCATTTTGATTTTAAGAATTTTTAATGAGAGAACAGAAAAATTCATGTGAAGGACTAAGTTCTTGGGGGATTTTTATAGCGTTCTCCAAAAGGCTGAAGAAGGATCTATTGCTACTTGTGCTGGATTAGCTTCTGCTAAGGTACATACAAGCCTGCGCTCCAGGAGCCTGGAAGTTAGGTCAGTCTTCTCTTAGACAGGATACCTCTGTGGAAATCTTGCCTCTAAATGCAAGTCTCCTCTATATATAACTTACTCATCGGGCTATAATGAGCAAGCACTTTTTCTGTTTTGTGAATTGCATTGTGTAACTTTTGAAGCATGTCCAGAAACATCAGAATGATTTGCTTTGAAAATATGAAAACATAAACATTTTAATGTTCTACATATTCCTCTCCTTTTTATTGATTTAACGTCTCACACACACAACAAGGTATAAATTGCCAATTGTCTTCAATTTAGACAGGCCCAAAGTTCCATTTTGGGCAAAGAGCCATTTGTCAAAAGCAATATTGCCCAGCCCTACAAACCAATACACTTTTTAAGTGTCTTATACTTGACATAGCCAAGGCCATAAACTAGCTGCAGTTTCCCAGTAACATCCATTTCTCCTGGCTAGAAGAGAGCCGTAGGCATATGCTGAGGGGCTGGACTTCATGGACAGCCTGAACACACCACTTATGAACCGCCTAGGTGAACTGTCGTGGGATAACTCACTGAAAACCATCATCTCACCAAGCATTTGCATTTTCTATCCAAATTTTGTACCCTGAAACATTTCGGAAAAAATTGTAAATATTGGTTCTGAAACATCCTTACTTTTTGCAGCAAATAATTTGCCAAGCACAAATCAAACTGCAACTTAAATTTCAGAGTAGTTCAACACCCTTCCCACCAAATCCACAAGACATTTTGTGTTAGGTTCAGAAAAATACTTTTAAACATTTTTTTTTTTTTTTCCATATGGGGTTCCTTCATGGACAAGAAAAATAGCTCATTTGAACTTCCCCTAGCCCTTCCTTTCTGTGTGCAGCATGACGTTAAAGAGAGTCTGCAGGAACTCCAGTCTTACTTTTCCCACCTCATCACCTGCTCCAACTTGTGTATTTTGCTAGTGCCACTTAGTTTTGAAACTAAGCAGAGCAGTGATTACATGCAGCTGCATGTTGGCATGAATAATGTTTTCAGCTTTTCAGCTGAGCGTTGTCAGAGCTTTGCTCACCATCCTATGGACTTGTGTGTCATACTGCGTGTGGGTTAGCTCTTCTGAGTGCTGTAAAAAAAAATTCTGCTGAATGACATCTCTTTTATAATATTTTTACTGTTCTTAAAAGCAAATAATTTACTGAGGGAAGACCAAATTGCACAGGAAGACGTCTTTTTATACAGCACAGTCTGGGCTCTGAGATCCATCCATTAAGTTAGTATTTATTTAGGTATGACAGTAATTGTATGGTAACTGAAAATCTTAGATTTTTTTTTTTTTTTTTTTTTTTTTTCCAGATTTAGGTGAACTCATACTGTGACAAACTGAGAATGGAGAAAACACATTTCTTGTCCATAAAAGGACAGATCACACATCCACAGAGGGTAGCTCTGATTTTGCTGCAGTTCCAAACTATGAAGTGGGGACTCACTGCTGTTAAAAGGAGTTTTACTTGGAGTGGATCCTCCAGTAAAACTTTTTTCTTTTTGACTTTGCTTTCTTAAATAGAAAATGGTTTGCCTTTTTAAACTGAAAACGGTGATCCTTTGAAGTGGAATTTTTTCTGTTTGAGAGGTCTGATTTTTTTTTTTCCTTAATTTCTTTTGGGAAAAGCAGAGAACTCAGAGTGTCGCCAGTAGGCTGAGGGAGGGGATCCTTCCCCTCAACTCAGCACTTGTGAGGCCACACCTGGAGTGCTGTGTCTAGTTCTGGGCTCCCCAGTACAGGAGAAACGTGGACATACAGGAGCAAGTCCACGAAGATGATGAAGAGACTAGGGCATCTGTCATATGAGGAGCAGCCGAGAGAGCTGGAGCTGTTCAAACCAGAGAAGAGAAGACTCAGGGTGACCTTACCGAAGTGCAGAAATACCTGACGGGAGGCAGTAAAAAAGATGCAGCCAGGCTTTTCTCAGGGGTGTTCCATGAAAGGACGAGATGCAATGGGCACAAACCAAGATATAGGAAAGACTACTGAAACATGAAATTTTTGTGTTTTTTTTTTTTACTGTGTGGGTGCTGAAACACAGGAACAGGTTGCCTAGAGGGGTTGTAGAGTCTTCATCCATGGACATATTCAAAACCTGACTGGGCACAGCCCTGTGCAGGCTGCTCTAGCTGACCCTGTTTTGAGCAGAGAGACTGTACTAGATGATCTCCTGAGGATTCTTCCAAATCCATCTGTTCTATGAACTGTAACTCTGTGCCTTCATCCCAGAGTGCGAGTAGTCTGACACACGGTGGATGTATTTGCAGTGCAGGAGAATCAACTTCGAGACTGTTCTGAGCCATTGGAAATAGTTCTACAGCCAGGGCTTGTCACATGAGAGTGCTCTAATATAAGTTTAATATTTTCTCCTTCAGTCCATGACTTGTACAACAATTTTATAAAATAGGTGTGCTTTCAAGTGAATTGTTTGCTTCCATGAGTTACTATTTTACAATTAAAATTAATTTCATTTAAATATAAGGGCAAATACAAATTATACAGATATCCACAAGGAAAACCACACCTCCCTAGATGGATGCTCATGGTTTTCAACTACACAAACAGGATGACCAAAAGATTTGAAAATAGATTTTAAATTCTTTTCAGAATCTAGAATTATAAGGACACTATAGGAATCCATATAGAGCAGAGCATGACAAAGTAGAGTACAGAGAAGATGTACACTTTTAGGTCCAGTTTTCAAAATCCTGATCTTAAGTTCATTTTGATCTTTTTGAAGAAGTTTCTTCTATTTTGAGGTGGGGGGGCAGAGAAGTGGAGATGGGGTGTCCTCTATGTGTCCATGAATATTTCTAACTACTGTCAGTTTTGTTCCACTTTATATGAATATAATGAAGGAACTTCATTAAAAACAACAAGAAAACTAGTCCCAAACCCTAAAAACAACTAGTACAAGATGGTCTGTGCATCCATCTCAATTTCCCACTTGTATTGCAGAAGCCTAACCACTCTTATCTGAAGTTCAAAATATAAGAAATCCCACTTCGCTGCTCGGCTGCATCCTTTTCCTTCAAGAATACTTTCCCTTATGGCACCAGAGAGAGAAAGAGAGATAAAGAGCTATTAAAACTGTATTTATTTCCCAGTGTATGATGATGCTGTTAGGGTAAAGTTAAACACAACCCACACGGATCCACAAGATCTCAACACACAAAACTTGACAATGCTTAGCAAAGTCAGAAATTTTTATTTCTACGCCATTATATAGTCTGCTACTCCGCATAATCTTGCAATTTTAAAACTAAACCTCTATGTAGAATAGGCTCTGTGAAAGTAACTGGGCCTCTCTCTGCTGCCAAGATCTGGACATACTATTCCAACAGCTACCTACCTCTGTAGAGAAAGGATCTAATTGACATATAGGCCACTGTACATGGAAAGAGGAAAAGTAAAGTCATCCTGAAAAGTGCATGAAATATAGATGAAACACTGGAAAAAAAAAATAATCAACCAACAGTTACGCTCATTATAAAATATAGTTAAATAGTATCTTCAAAGAAACATATAGCTTATTTCTGTCTATAAAGTGCAGATGTTATAGAAACAAATCCGAATTTTCATGTTTACAGCCTCCAGAAAACTTCCCTATTTAATTGCTTTTATGTTGACTTTCTGTTTCTTTGCAGATCTTACAGGTGAACAAGGTGATGTCCATCTTGTTTTATGTGATATTTCTCGCTTATCTTCGTGGCATCCAGTCTACCAACATGGATCAAAGGAGTTTGCCAGAAGATTCGATAAATTCTCTTATTATTAAACTCATTCAGGCAGACATTTTGAAAAACAAGCTTTCTAAGCAGATGGTAGATATTAAGGAAAACTATCAAAACACAGTGCAGAAAGCAGACACTCAGCAAGACATGGATGGAGATGAAAATGTGAAATCAGACTTCCAGCCAGTTATGTCAATGGATACAGACCTCTTAAGGCAGCAGAGACGCTACAACTCTCCCCGAGTCCTCTTGAGTGACAACACGCCTCTGGAACCGCCGCCACTGTACCTCATGGAGGATTATATTGGAAATTCAGTGGTGGTGAACAGAACCTCCCGGCGGAAAAGGTACGCGGAGCACAAGAGCCACCGAGGGGAATATTCCGTTTGTGACAGTGAAAGTTTATGGGTCACGGACAAATCATCTGCGATCGACATTAGAGGACACCAGGTAACTGTTCTGGGAGAAATTAAAACGGGCAACTCTCCAGTTAAGCAATACTTTTATGAAACAAGGTGTAAAGAAGCCAAGCCTGTAAAAAACGGCTGCCGCGGAATTGATGACAAGCACTGGAACTCCCAATGCAAGACATCCCAAACTTATGTTAGAGCACTGACTTCAGAAAACAATAAACTGGTAGGCTGGAGATGGATAAGGATAGACACCTCCTGTGTGTGTGCGTTGTCCAGGAAAATAGGAAGAACATAAATCTGCATCTCTTTGCTATATAAATTATTACTTTAAATTATATGATATGCATGTAGCATATAAATGTTTATATTGTTTTATATATTATAAGTTGACCTTATTTATTAAACTTCAGCAAATCTACAGTATATAAGCTTTCTCTCTCAATAAACAAGAGCAAAGGGTGTGTGCCTCTGCTGTGGGCAGCTCCGGGTTTTTCTAGACTTTGTTTGCGACACTGCTTGCCAGCAGCATACCGTAACCTTACTGTAAAATCTGTGTAAAATCAGTATTTTTCATTCAGTATTGTCAAGCCAGTGACTGTCATTTAGTAAACTTGTTAAAAATCAGACCAATGTCAAGAGTTGTGTACATATTTATACACCCCACTCTATACGTTCACACTTAATTGGATGCAGTGTTGACTCTTCGCCACGGAAACAAAAACGGACCAGAATAATACATGCTGTAACCTGCAGATGATGTCAATGTTACAGGCATCAAGTAGCCATAAAATACAACTTCTGTGTATTATGCCAATTTGCCAATGAAATGACCATCTTCCCCCTGTTAGCACTGCAGAATGACAGCTAATAATCCAGTAACTTTCATTTATGTTTTTGAGCACATTTGTTTTGCAACTCTTTCTAATGCTGCCAGTTGATCGTAGAAAAAATATGAAAAAACCCCAAATCTAAAATATTTGTAGCAGAAACTTACTGAAGCCAAGAATCAATCTAATTGTATTGTTAATATTATACATAAAAGATGATCTCTTCAGAATTTGCTAGTTATTGTGATTGGCCTCTTCCTCCTCACACGAATACATTATCTTCTGCTTGCATTGTTGGATCATTCCTCTCTTTCTGAGTTTTTCAATTAGAAACAAAATGGTCATGTCTTAACCTTAAAAGAGCCCTTGTCTTGCAAAGTATAGTAAAGAAAGATATAATGTCTTGGCATAGATATCAAAGCCACACACCTGTATGAAGCTGTTCTACTCAGCAATCCATTCTCCGTTTTTTAGAGGGAAAAATGTATAGAACTGCCTGACAAATCTGTTACTTTTCATAGGGATATGAAGTAAGAGACCTTTTTGATCAGTAGAGTGACTAAAATCCAGGTAGTCTGTAGTTATAATGAAGTTCTTCAATTACACAGGTGAGTTGTTACTTAGGACAGACAACTCTACTAGCATATATATATATATATATATATATATATATACCCCTCAAATTCTCCTTTGTATTGCAGTGTAGCTCCACTGGGAACAGTAATAATTACTCTACTTGAAGAGATGGTCTATTATACATTAGTTGTATAATGCCCTGGCTGGGATCTAAGTCCCATAAAAATAAATGAGAGTCTTGTCATGGCTATCAACAGAATTAAGATTGGACTGCATATGTTATCTGTGTCTAGATAGGTCTTAACACGCATCCAGAGCCAAAAAATGCCAGCCATTCAAAAAACGTTACAGCTGTAGTAGTCTTAGGTATTTATCCTATGACCTTCACTGTTGTAGCGTGTTCAGCATCACAAATGAAAATGAGATCAGAGCACTCAAACCCCAGGTTGCAGGATGCCTTTGTTCATATAGCTTTCACTACTAGAGAACCAAATTCAAATCTGTAACAGGTCATCAAAGGCAACAAGTTGTGTGGTCTCCCCTACTCCCTTACAGGGAGCATTACACGTCATAAAACCACTGGAGAAGTGGACAGGTCACTTGCAAACTCAAGCACTAGAATAGCGGTGCCTCTGAGAGCCAGGTGGAGCGTGTAGGTGTAGGTGTAATTCTGCATAAACAAAGGTGTTAAGAACCATCTCAGTTTTCAACATGAGGCCAGGGTATCCACCTCAGAGGAAATATCATCACCTCGCAGTACTAAAACCCAACTTTGCTTCAAGCGATAATAACTTCAGAGGTTCAATACCAAGGCAATTGTTAAAAGAGAGGATGTAATATAACAAGGAACTAAGTATCTGGGAGATCTGACAAGAATTTTTCCAGCATTCTCCTTCCTTGGCAAACATTAAAAACCCCCCAAAAAATCCTCAACAGAGCTTTGGCTAGTTTTACTAGTAGGAAAGTTTAAATTTCAACTAAATTTTTCTGCTTCAGGGGGACAAGCATAGTTTGTAATCCTGCCCCACTGAAATTTTTTTGCGAGTTAAAAGCCTAATTTTACATCCTGAATTCCCAAATAAAGATCATTTTCAGATGCTGTGAGTAATTGAGAGAAGATATCGTCATGGATCATTAACTTAGAGATCTCCATGTTTTGCTCTGCCAGATAGCTCTACTCTGTATGAGAAGAGGGTGTAAGGAGACTGACTTAGCTTCGTTAAATCCCATTAATTGAAAACTGCCTTGTTCCTACAGTGTGGATGCCATGCTTGTTTACAGCATTGTAAACCCAGAGAAACTCTAGTGAGGATGGGAGAGAAAATGTAAGTTATAGCAATGTGAACAACCCCAGAGTTCATCCTAGTGCCTTTATTTCTGCTCACTGAGAATCAAGGGAGGTTCATTCTTTATAGGTTCAAAGAAAACAAATTGTCATTTTCCACTGGAAATTCAGTAACAGGAACTGGGTTTTGACTTTTAACTTTACCAATGCACCAAGCATTTTACAAGCAGCCAGCAAAAATGTATCAGAGTAAATACAACGCCTGTCATCTGAAACACATTAAACGAGAAAGAAGCATGGTGTGTAAGGTTATTAGATCGGCTGCCTCTTTCCCACCCCAGTGTAACAATGAACGGAAGTGTTACCCTCTGGATCTGATCCAGTTTCCACTAAAGTAAATGGAAAAATTCTCACCTTCTCCAGTGGAAGCTGGATCAGGCCCTGAGCGAAGAAAAACCTGCAGATCTTGGCCAGAGAGCGGAGCAACCGCACACATCAGTTACGTGTTCTTGTAAATCCTGTGTACGCATAAGATGCTGTATAATTTTGTAACAAGTTTGTAAACAAAGCCTGTAATAAATTTGTTAAGGCCTGATTCTGTTTTCACTGTAGCCGGGGATGGTTTTATCGTCACCGTCGGTCGTGGCACAACGAATTCAAAGTTCTTACCCAACTTTTTTTTGGTATGTGTGTTAAGTAATTAAGCAAAATATTCAGCTCGCAATGCTTGTTTAATTTAAGTATTCTGAAACTCACTCCCATCAGGCAGCTCAGATGCTCTGTCAATATTGTTTTGCCAATAGATCATTACAAACACACATTTTGTTTCGCTTTTCTCTCAAACAACCAAATGCTATTCTGAAATTGCCTGTCTGTGTCAAAATGTATTTTCTCCATTTTTTTCCCCTATTTTTTTTACAGTCCATTTAGTAACAGTAAAAAAAAAAAAAAAAAAAAAAAAAAAAAAGAAACGCTCCACTGAGGTTTTGGGAAACCATCTGCATTTATTTTATCACCTTTGAACATGTGTTCAGGAATGAAGTCTGTGCAGCAAGTTTATGGCTACCAAGAGATTTGTGCGGCTGCACCAGGAAGAAACTTTTGACTGGACTATACAGAGTGTGTGCTCAAAACCTCTCTGCTCATACTCTCTTATTTCAATGCTTTAGCAATCAGAGTCTTTCGCTCGGCTAAACATTGTGTATCTGCAGACAATACCAAACAGGAAACAAGTCTGATTGGGAGTTCCAAAATTAAAAAACTTAATGATAATGACCTGCTATTTCTGACCTTTCAGCAAACGCGATTGTGCAGCGAAGTAAAGCGCATAACCATGCTTTTCATTTAATAGAAACATTGTGCCAAAATCAATGGGATTCTGTGTTTTCCACGCTTGGTACGCAAATGTAATTCATCATGCATGTGGTGGTGGGGGGGTGAGGAAGAAGGAGGAGAAGGAGGAGGAGAGGATAAAAAGCTTGTGAGAAGTAAAAGGCTGTCCTCTGGGTTGGAGCATTTTAAAGTGTGGAGGGGTTGTTCTCTGAAATGCTTTGCCTGTATTTTGTTACAGCAGATGGCGGAATGACGAAGCAAGCACAGATGTGGTGTAAAAAAAAAAAAAGTCAAACAATATAAGGTTAACAAACATTTTCCTGGGAAAATTGGTCATTCGCTACCTCTACCTCTGTAGGTCCATGCAGTTCTGTGCAGTGCATTGCAGAGCTCAGCAGTGACATTCCCAGTTACGTTATTTAACTAACCTCTGTGGCAAAAAATGCATTTTTTTCCTTAAAGTTATTACATTCATGAGCTGGATTTTTTATTTTTTTTTTCTGTAATTGCTAGCTGCTTTGATACCTCTGATGAACAGCAAATGGTAATGCTTTCCGTGAAGGTCCCCAAATATAGATTTCTTGTCTGTTTTCCTGCCGAGCTTTGAAGCCAGCAGCACCTGAAAGCCATACTTCCACTACAGCACTGGCCATTTGATGTCATGACCTCATGTTTCCAGACATTTTGATCACAGGGTCCTATTTTGGAGCCGTTAGCCACACAATTAGGTGAGATCATGACCAGCCTGCTCTAAATCACGCTTGAGAAGTGGCTGTGTACACAGCAGCCAAGGAGCACAGAAAGTGAGGCAGCTCTATGCCATCTTTATATCCACCTTCCCAAATCTCCAGCTCTGCTTTCAGTCTTGAGCTGCAAGATGCATGATCAAGGGCTGCAATAATCACGGGTTGCTTCCTCTGTGTCCAAGGGTTGAGATGCTTAGCGGACCTTTTGCAGAAGGACAGTTTCTCAGTTCACAATTTTTGCCTGCCAAAAAGCATGTCTTATGTGAATCTGGATGGACTGTCTGTAAAAGGTGCTGTGTTTGCAGCATGTGGGTTGTCCCCTCTCTAAAACACAGCATGTTGTTACCATTTAGCCGTGTCACAAGGAGGAGAGGGCATCACTGATAGACCAGCTCCTTTATCTGTAAATTACATTGAGACCATTTGACAGAAAACACTAATGTGTCCAGGGGAGGCTGCTAAGGAAGGAGGTAGGATGCTCGTTTTCTCTGAGCAAAAATTATTTCCATGGAGGTTGGGAGAAAATGAAAGAAAGCGCTGAAAAAAAAAAAAAAAAAAAAAAAAAAAAAATCAAGGTGTAAAACATCTTACAGAGATTTAGGAAAGCGAGGGAGATTGTTCAACTATAACCTCAGATGAAAGCCTCTTTCCTGCTATGATAAGGGTTAAAGAAATACCATTAGATAATCTGAAACACGAATTCAAAAGGAAAGTGAACCTCTATTAATTAGGGTCAATCCCACTGCGTTGATGAAGAATTAACTATGCTCACTGAGCACAGATGATCAAGTCTTGCTCATGGTTAGCCCTATGCAGCCCCTGTTGTCAGCACTTGGGATTATGAAGCTGCTAAGTGAGGGCAGAATTTGGCTCAAAAAGGTATTAAATCTAAATCAAATGCATAAGGGGAGGCGAAGTTGAAAGCATTATCCACCACACAAAACAAGCCAAGGTTTTAACATTACTGTCATAAAAATTGTTCATTACTTTGTCTAGTTCCAGGGATTTAAGTTTTAAAATAAGTTTTGAACTCTCTAATATGACCAGTACACATATATTTAGAAGCAAATTACAAAAGAAAAAAAAAAAAAAAAGATGGAAGTATGTAGTAAAATACTGTGTCTAGCACTGTAAATAACTTCTGTTAATTCCTATTTATGTTCTCAGTGTCTGAGAAAAGAATTTTAATTTTAAATCTTGGTTCTGTTTTACACACGGTATTTTGTATAATAAGCACCTCAACTTACTGCTTGTAGATGTTTGTGGTGTGCAATCTTTGTGGACAATGAAGCAGAAATATGGGTCTAGATTTGCTGGGCAATGTACAAGGATTAAGTCCCACATTTGTACATTAGACAGTTAAACCAAACGTGTGAAAGTGACGGAATCTGCTTCTCAGGCTCAGAGATTAAATATGTTTTAAAATATTGAATGGTAGCTTTTGTCGAGTTATTACAAATGCCTTCAGTAAGATTCAGATGTGACACAGCCCACTACTCGCATAAAGTGTAATTTTTTAAATCTTTGTTATTGAACAAATCTACTAAATGTGATTCAGATTAAATTCAGGAGATAGAAATTTGCTCATTTCTACACTGCTGACAGAACATACACCATAACCCCAACATATGAGCCAAATCACAGGCCAGAGCATGATCCCTGAACTTATGTCCTGGGGACAAAAACTTCCAGGAAGGAAATTTTTCCATTCTGCAGAGAGTGAGTTCAGCTGCCACAGTCAGAGCATCTATGTCATGATATCACAAGGACCTAGGTTTGAAGTCTCGAGGAGGTAGAAACTGGATGACTGGAGAGCTGAAGGGTAGAAGTGGGATGGGTTGAGCAATAACTATTACATTGGTTTCTTGCAGTTTAGACCCCTCAAACACATAAAATAAACTCTACAGCCATCAGGATCCTCCTGATCTCAGGATCTGACTCAGAGGCACTTACCCACTAGGTCAGTAATCTTGGCTGTCTTGGATTCCTGAGACTTGGCATCAGGATATGGTAATTGTCCTAGGCAGGGGTAAAGGTGAAAAAAATCCCCTTCTCCCACCATAATCAGATAATGGCAATTATGCAGAAGGGAGTTCTCATGGGAACAGTTTTGTCTCAAACTCCCATGGTTTTCTGTTGTTGATTTTTTCCACAGAAATGGAAGAAATGGGTTCCTGAGAAATGCCTGCGGCGTGTAGTTTTCTCAGATGGGTATGAGGACGCTGGAGAATAGAAGTTAGACAGAAAGAGGAAAATTCTCCTTTAGTAGAGTCAATCAGTGATCTATTTTCCCTCCAGGTTTCCCCTTACCATGTTGGTGGTTCACTTCAAAAATATGTGGTGAAGTCTTCTGACATAGATCCTGCTGCCCGAAGCATTTACATGTGAGTAAAAGAGTGCTGCAGTACCATGACTGGATTGAGGAGAGGGGCTCAGCAACCTTTGTGACTCCTTCCTCTCTTTTTCTAAATGTTGTGGGGATTGGGGTGTATCAGTGGCACAAAACCAGAGACCAATAACAGTATAGCTGCACAGCACCCTTCCCCATTCACAAAAGCCAGGCAGAGAACAATGAGGTCAACTCCCATCATCTCACAGGCTGATCCTGGGACAGATCCTTCATCTCTTCCCATGGGAAGAGAAGGATGCACACTGCCTTTTCATACATCAGGTTGAAGAAATATCAAGGCCTTCCTGCAATGGTTTGGACCTGGTTCACGCAAAGTAAAAGACTAAAGAAGGCAATAGCGGGCGGGGAGGGAGTTTACCAATATTTATTCTTGAATCGTTTCACTTGCATCCAGAATGTACAAAAAAAGCCAGTCTGAATAGTGGAAAGTATTTAAATCACCCATATACTTTTAGGGGGAATCACCACACAAACAACTAATAAGTGCTTATCTGATCTCACACAGGTTTAATGTCTGACTTCAGTAGGATTAGTCCCAGTTTTTACTGATACACTAAAGCTTGGAATTATGCCTGTGACATTTTCAAGCAGGTGGTGAGCTCTGTACTTGATCAAACCCTCAGTTTCTGTATACCATGTAGCTGCTACTTGCGTACCTACATGATAAATACTATTTGAATTATTTAATATAATACATTTACAGCGGAGCTACACTTCAATGCTGTAGCAGCTTTAAACTACATAAGCCCTGCATGGAGATATATTGATGTCAGATCTCAGATTGATTCAGTGCAGCTCACCAGGTAAACCCCGGGTCTTTCCATGGCACCAGCTAAATAGTCTCCCCCGAGGACCACCATGCATAACATTCAAAATTAACTTTGCTTTTTGCTACAGATGTAACTTCACTGGGCCTTGTTTTGCTTGAAGAAATTATAAGAAAGAAGTAAAAGTTAGATTTGCAGGTACTGGCATTCAGAATTCTGAAATCTGTAACTTGTCTACACAAACACTGGAAAATTAACATAGCATCTGCACGCTACGAGCTCAGTGAAGATGCTCTTGTTCAGAAACAAAAGTGCTTTAGACAACAGCAATCTCATCTCAGCTAAGACAAAGAACCCAGCCCTGATGAACACGAGTGCCCACCTGAGTTTTCTTTCAGTTCACAGGAAACTTCACACTTTGGCTTTCCCAAGTGTTTTTTCGGTAAGCAAATACTGAGTATAATTAGAAAGATAACTTTTGCTACATTAGAAACACTCCGAAACTACAATCTGAAATAAACTGAAATGATTCATTCTGGGTGAGCATCACTGTAGCCTTCTCCAGTCTTCAGTAATGACTCAGTTTGCAAACTACAGCACACAGCTTGACTTTGTGGGCTTGGAAGACTTTGAGATTTTTTTTTCATCTCGTTTTCTATAAAGCTGTCATAAA